ATTGCAGTGTTGGGACTTTTTGATAAATGAGTGGGTTTGGGGTTGCAGTGTGGGCATTCTCTCTAAAATGTTCACCATCACTGCTCTAGGCCCTGACTGGAGGCAGCAGAGCCCGGGGCTGAGGATAGTGCCTAGAAATTTATTTTCTTAGTGGTTTTAATCTATCTTGTGTTTGGGGCCTCCAGCCTCCCCAGACTCAGCCCAACAGCTGTGAACCTCCAGGGCCACCACCCGGAAGCCAGCTGCCTCCTCATGGGGAATTCTTTGAAATTCTAGGGTTGGCCATCTGGGTATGCAAATATCTCCAGATTTGCTGAGCCCACCAAGTGGCTGTAACCCAGACAGAGCTGTGAGAACCACCCCGTGTCCCCAGCTGCCTAGGGGCAGTTGGTGCCTGGAACACACAGGCTTTTTTGCCCAGTGGTAAACTAGGGAAAGGAAGCTCTGGGCCTAAGAAAGTCCCTGAAAGGAGGGAAGCTTTGGTTCTAGGCTAGCTGGAGGGATGGGCACTACCTGACAGGAAAGCTGACTTCCTGCATTGCTAGACACAGGCAACATAGCTAGGGCAGCTTAGACATCCCAGACTAAAGCCAAAAGCCTGGCCTCCAGAATATCTTGCTGTCCCCCAGGCCTGCTCCTGGGGCTGGTTATCTGGCTGCAGCAGTAGGATTGTGTGCTTTATAGGAAGAGGAGAGCCATGGGAAATGTGGCTTACAGGCTCCAAGCAAGGGAGAGCATAGGCCAGCCTGTGTGTGCAAGTGCATCCAAAAGGGGCTGCACCCAAAAGGTGTGTTGGGAGAATAAGAACTGTGAGCATGGACATTCCTTACAGTTGATGTGTATGGGTGTGAGCTTAAATGGGGATTGAACTCAGGCCCTTGTGCTTGCCAGGCAAGTGCTTATTCTACTGAGCCATGTCCCTGGCCCCTTAAATCTAGTTTTTGAAGACCAAAAATCAGATCTGGGTGTGAATCACAGGCCCAAGGCTTTTCAGATGTATAATCTTAGACTAGTAATTTATCCGTCCTTTGATTTTCCTCATCTAGAAAATGGGCATTTGGGCCAACTGATCCACAGGCAACATTTGGTGGGCGTTATCAAATCAAGAATTACAGTTGAGTGTGGTGAGGCATGTTTATTTTTTTTTTGGGGGGCGGGCATGCTTATAATCCCTGCTACTCTGGAAGCCAGCAGAAGGATGATAGCTTAGGGCTAACTCTGGCAATCTTGGTAAAACCATCTCAAAATTGTTTGCCAGATGTGGTACACGTACCTGTCATACCAGCATTCTGGGAGTTTGAGGCAGCAAGAACTAAAGTTTTGGGCTGGTGAGATGGCTCAGTGGTCTAAAGCACCTACTTAGAACAAGCTTAGCAAAGCACAGGGGCCACGGTTCAATCCCCCAGCACCACATGCCAGCCAGCCCTGCCCCCTGGTGGGCTGAGCTGGCCACACACACGCACACATAAATAAATAGAATACTTTCAAAAAAAATTAAAAAAAAAAAAGATCTCAAGATTTGAGACAGCCTGAGCTGATTGATTTCACTTAGCATTTTATTTAGCTATAAGTGATATTAAGTTTGGTAGCTTGCTTGGAATGCCTGTCATTCCGATCTTCTAAATATGTACTTCTTGTGATGACATAGCAATTACCATACTGTCTTTCAAGTAAAAGTGTTTTTTTTTTTTTTCTTTAAATAAAGGGTAATAAGTGAAAAAAAGACATAAGAAAAATAAATAAATAAATTTGGTAGAGCCGGGGAGATGGCTCAGTGGAATAAGCGCTTCCCTGGCAAGCGCAAGTGCCTGAGTTCAATCCCCGGTTCAGCCCCCCCCCAAAAAAAAAAAAAAATTAAATGTTTGGGGCTGGTGAGATGGCTCAGTGGTCTAAAGCACCTACTTGGAGCAAGCGTGGCAAAGCACAGGGACTGCGGTTCAATCCCCCAGCACCACATGCCAGCCAGCCCCGCCCCCTGGTGGGCTGAGCTGGCCACACGCAC